TACATTTGCTACAAGTGCCTGCACTTCAGCGTCCGTCCATCTATCGCTGTTCTCCATACTTGCGAAATAAGTTGACACAATGTTTACAGTATGTTTACACAGCGTTTTAAATCATGGTGGGTGAGGGCGTTTTCGTACGCGTTTGGCCAATCAATGTCTACTTGCGTCGCGATTAGTACCAGTTGTGCTGGTTAGACCCTGCTCTGGAGTAGGAGCTAATTTGGTTCTCGAAAAAGGCAGTCCGGTACTAAAATTGCACCCAGTTCCGGCGGTGCGAAAATGCCAAAAAGTGGGTAGTTCCACAATTAGTTCTGGTACTATGAAAAGGTTCCCGCGGTGCGAAAGGCCCTATTGACTTGGATAGTAGCGGGGAAAATGCGTGGAAGTCACTGGGGACCCGCAACTGTTTGGTTACCCACATTCTTCAAAATAACTTTTATGTTCAACAGAGGAAAGAAACTAACTCAGATTTAAAATAACCTGAGAGTGAGTAAATGATAACAGAATTTTCATTTTTGGGTGAACTATCCCTTTAATGTTAATAAAACGAGAAAAAGAGAAAAATCACTGCTCTTGACTGAAGAAATTTAATACAGTTGATTTAATAAGAATCAATGCATTTATACAGTGAAGTGTATATAATGTTTTATTTTTATATTTGTTCATTCAGTTTCTTGAATGCTACTGCTAAATACACCTACCGTACCTGAAAAATAAAGCACTGTTTGTTTTATTTGTATATTATGTGTATTTGTAATGTGTATCTTTGTTTTTATTTTATAATAACAAAGTTAAAATAACACTTTTTATAATAATTTTTAACTTCACCCACTTTGGCCTAGATATCTGCCATTCTTATTTATTTTATATGTTGTCGCCTTGTAAGGCTTTGTTTTAAAATAGGGAAGCTAGTTTGGCTGTACTGCTCAGAAAACTTGCAAAATAGTAAAACCAACATGACAAAGAATCGTGATAAAATCGTGAATAGTGATATTCCTGAAAAAAATCGTGATATGATATTTTTGCCATTTCGCCCACCTCTAATTCATGCTTTTCCAGCCAACTGTCCCTAAGTCTTTCTCTCCAGTGATCGACTCATTTAAAGGTGGTGTGACTTTTCTAAGCCATTATTGGAGCTCCGTCTCAGATGTCCGCAATGTGGTGAGATTGCAACAGGCATTCCTGATACAAAGAAGAGCGTTCAGAGACAGTTGACTCATTCCATCCCTGAACACACCGTTCGCAGTGAAACACATGTACGCACACAGATTCCTTTTTAATCACCTTGTCAGACACCCAGTCTCTTTCTGTATTAATGACATTCAAGCTGTCCTAAACATCAAAATTAAATTATCTGTAGACAATGATGGTTTTGCAACTCTTGAAAACATCTCTTACACAGAAATCAAGGGTGTGACCACATAAACAGTGAAGGGGATGCAACTGACCCTAATATTAAGATAAGGGAAAAATAATTTCAATGGTTGATTCTTTAATTATCATATTTGATCCTCCCTGACCTGAATATGTGGTTGCATACTAACTAAAAGGGATTTTCTGTAAAAGACACAAGGATCCACTTGTAATTTACATTAAAATATGAATTATAATCTTAATAGATTTCATGCAAATATGCTTGAGGAAGCAAGTCAGTGTAACCAAGTTCTGAGCCGCATCTCTATAACGGTTAGTCGGGGACATGAAATGACATAATTTACAAATCTAGGAAAACCTCAATTCTCAGCACATCTCACAATAAAATTTTAAAAAGCCAAAGGCAAAAAACACATTTTCAGTCCATGAACATACTTCTCATTTCTACACCACAAACACCAAAAACATCCGTCCTTAAGAGTTTGATGGATTAATGAGAAAGAGAGTCTTTGAAATAGTAAGTAGTGTGTACAATATAAAAGGAATGCAAAATGTAATATAAAAAGTTCAATTAAACGAATATAAATTCAAGGAGTTCTCTAGCATCAGAATTGAAAATGGGTGCATCACGTCCCCTCAGTTTCGTACAATCCTCCATACATCTCAGACGCAACAACAGGCTATGAAACACACAGCAATATGCAAATAAGATTACAGCTACAGTTTTCTTTCCAACATTTATTCTTTCATTTTAATCAAAATATAATGCCACATTTTGGACAAGTGGAATAATCAAAATTATTGTTAAATAACGTGTGTAATTAATTTGAGTGCGCTTTTTTACTTGATTTTGGATATGAAGCATAGCACCATGAGAAAACATGCTTTTTTCTATAGTAGGTTAGTAGTGTGGCCATATTTAGAAAGCAGTTTTAAATATAAAAGGTAGGTTATGTGATTATAAAGAATAAAAACAAGCATGAAATAAAGACTTACAATATTTCCCTTTTGTTACTCGTTCCTCTCGTGTGTTTGACCATATATCCGTCCATATGCAACTTCAGTTTGTCTTACCGGCGAATGCCAAGTAGCTTAAAGGGGAATGAGCCCGCCCTCTCAGCGCGAGAGTACTATATGTTCTACCGGCAGTATTTTACACTTCTACACACTAATAATCGTCAGCACGATACGCCTCTGCGAGACGGGGAAAATGAAATGAGACTAAAGGGGGAGGAGTAAACGCGGGGGGAGGGCAGTGTAGTGTAAAAATTAAGGGCAGGCCTTGGAAACTGTCCACAAAGTAACACAATGTTCCGGCTCTACTGTAGCTCGCGCTGATGAGAACACAGTGTCCTAGTAGACACCCTGACCCGTAACCCGTTGTGTGCTGACTGAACAGCTCAAGTTAAGAACAGCATGTGCAACCACACAGTCAGAGCACAGCGATATGCGGAAAGAACAATACGACTAAACGTGGAAGTTTAAAATGATAGAATGCATTGAAAAAAAAATCTTGTTGTGGTAAAATTGACAGCTGAGAGAAACTTACGGTAGACGTTTGGATGGTATAACCAATATAATAACACACAGGTGACACAACAGAAAAGCACATGATGAATTAATGTTCATCACAATGATATCCGCTTATCATGCGTACTATATATACTGTATATATATATATACACGTATATATACTGTATGTATATATAGCCTTATATATATATATATATATATAACTGGTTACAGAATCATTACAAACTTTATTATTTCAATAAAATATTAACAAATGTGAAGTCTCATGCTGGGACCTCTGGGAAAGTTCTTTTACTGTAATTTTAACAACACTTTACTATAAATGTTCCTGTTTTGTAAGTCCTATGTACATGGATTGTTTTGTTGAATGTAATATAGATTTTCACCATAAAACATATGCTAATAGTTTTTGCTTCCATATATTTTATATAGTATTTTACAGTAACATTGCATTTATTGTCTGTTAAATCTGTTTTTTTATTATTGTAAGGTAACTTACAGTTAACAGGTTTTACTGTACCGTTTTTATTTATTTTTTCAGTTAAAACCAAAACAAATTATTCTGTAAAGAAATGTTTTCTGTTTAAGATCATGCATTGTCTATTCTGTTAGAAATTTCTAATACTAGACATTTAAAGCTGAACAGTATCTTCAATAAATTAGTGTTTTAATATCTTATTTGATTATTTACATTTCATTTCTACACAGAATAATTCCATGTCATGATGATATGTTGAAATCAAATCCATCCTTTCAAGTTAGCATGCCAAATGCTGAATAACATCAACACTGGCAACATGTTATCTGCCTCAAAGGCCTCTATAGAACTGTTACAAAATGTCCCTGGCTCATTCATAGAGCAACAAAAGGTGTCAGCAGGAACACAATAGGTGCCATGCATGATTGTCTGAATTTAAAGGGATTGATTTCCCTTTTCAAGCCATATATTTTTTTAAATAATTTCAGTTAAACCAGGAACATGATGTGATTGAAAGATAAGCTCTGTTTAAGAGGTTCAGGTTATTAAAGATTTTGTGCAGATACAATATCAGAGATAGATAAATGTTGTTTAGTTCATTTATTTGATTGATTTGATTGAGACAAACATTTTCAAATGTGCCCAAAATGTAATGAACTGAAATCATAGATCTCTAATATGTCAACAGGCCTGCAGCTTTTCCAGGATTATCTAGGCATTGAAGTACTCAAGCAGGGAAGAAAGTAGAACAAAATGCTACCTCATTTTGGTATCTTAGCAGCAGGAATCTGCAACAGAGCATATAATGTGAAACTGATCAGTGTGGATGGCACAAGCAAACAAGTGGGGGGCATTCAAGGATAAGGATTCAGACCAATATGTCACTGCCAGCAAGGTTCAAGTGGGGACACTCCGAGTAAACTTGTCTGACCTTTTTCCTGTTTGTGTTTTCTGATCATATAATCTATCGGATAAAATCACTCAGTTCATTTTTATTCTTAATCAATATTTAGTTGTTGTTGTTGTTTTTCTTACAATTCTGACATGAAAATGAAATGTAGAAAAATAAAAACACTTGTGGTTATGTTTTTTAATTTACAGACATCAGCTGTTAAAGAAATTCTTATATAGACATTATTACTGAGGGCTTTGTGGTGATGACATTCAGAATATGATGGTTTTCTTCTATCAAAAGATGAACAGCCCATTAATCTAGGTCAGGGGTCTCCAAACTCGGTCCTGGAGGGCCGGTGTCCTGCAGAGTTTAGCTCCAACTTGCCTCAACACACATGAAACTGTTATTTCAGAACAATTCACTCCAGTTGTTACTAACAAAACGAACAAATTAGTCATTAACAGTTATAGCTTTACTGACAACAGGGTTCTAAAGAACTTTAATATATGTACCTCATTAATGTACTGAAGTAATATTTTTAGGTTTAGATCTATAAAGATCTGTGGTTTGTGGTTTATTAACCACTGAATAGAAGTTTGACTCATCTGTCAATTTGAAAATAAAAAAAAGAAAATAAAATGCATTTACAGAGCAATTAATGAATTAATGGATCATCACAACCTGTCACTTAATTCCTAGTATCTTTGCAGTATTCAGATTTTAATTTTTAGCATATAGGTGAAATATTGGACGCTTCCTAATTTGCATACAATAAATCATGTTTAATATGTGAGATTTAAATTAGCTACTAAACAATTTGTGCGCAAACATTCTCAAAAAAGGTGCATGGAAAATAGTATGCTGTAATATCAGAAACCTCCACAATTTAATAATGTGGTAATATGTCCAAAATATGTATACAGTTTCTACATAGCCTACACAAAGGTATAGGTATATGCACTTATATGCACTTTTCCATCATCCGCAGGGCAGTTTTAAAAGAAATATCATGCTTTAAGATAAACTTATATAAAATGTCATAGTAGATTATTTAGATTAGATCTAATTACTAGATTATTTCTCAAAACACAGTGATTCACCAAACATTAACAGATGCATATAAAGGATATGAATAATCTGTTTTGTAATGCAAAACACTCAATTGTTGCAATGTTTTTTTTTTTTTCACATAATTCCTATTTTGTCATATAATCTACAAATTACGTAGATGACAGTCCATACAAGGTTCTACATGTATTTTCATCTTCCAGCAGTAGAAACATAAGAAGCATTTATGGTCACAGCCTAATGGTATCCAAATGTTACATATTTTCAGATAGGACATGAGGATTGTGGATGGAAACGACTGAAAGGAATAGCATGCAATAAGGAGTGATTATAGGAGTATCACCTTGTCGCCAAATAATGTCGATTTTTTTTTTGGTTACAATCCTGCTCGTTTTTCCACTGGTTTCTCAGTTCAGTAGGTCCGCGCGTCAAGAACTAAATGTTCTAGTTCACAGTGGCACGTGTGGTAGAGACTCTGTTGACTGACTCATCGGCACAACGGAGGTAAGAAGTGGTACTGAACTTGACAAACATGGTCTCGCGCTCACGCGTCGTCTGTTTTTTAGCCTGCAGCTTAAGTACATTTAATACAAACGTCTGGGAAGTGGAATAACATGGCATGTGTCAGTGTCTTTATTCGCCTGAATGCACGGACCTCCTTTTTGGCATTGGAAAGAGCGAGAGGTAATGGTGGTCTGTTATAACCAGCAGGTACATAGAACCACATTTATGGCGCCAATAACAGGAAACTGTAGGCTATAACTTAGAAATGTGATGTGTTTCATTAAGAGTAACAAAGAACTGAAAGAAAACTATACTAATTGCATGTCCTAACAGAAGTAGTTTCAAGCTGTAAAATGATTAACATTTTATGTAAGCTTTTTTGTTTTTGATTTCTTTGATGAATGTAAGTGGTGTCCAGAGCTTTAAAATAAAATACAGTTGTTTTTGTGCTTTTAATAAAATTTTCTTTACATTTTGCCATGTTCAGTCTTGTCACAGCTGATATTGCTTCTGGTTCATTTAACACATAGGAAATGGAAGGCCAAGTGCAGGCATTGCTTTGTGGGATACAGTATTCTGCACAGTGTGCTTTATTGCATATTTTGGTAAATGTAGTATGTCATATGGGTATTCCATGAATGTAAAAGTGCTATTCTGCAAACTATACATAGAAATAGCATGATTACTACTAGACAAAAGTTTGGAACAATTAAGATATTTTAAATGTTTTTGAAAGAAGTCTCTTATGCATACCAAAGCTGCATTTATTTGATCAAAAATACAGTAAAAACAGTAAGATTGTGACCTATTAATATTAAAAAATCAGCTTTGCCGTCACAGGAATAAATTACATTGTAAAATAATTAATAAAATAAAAAAATAAATTTTAATTACATTTTACAATATTACTGATTTACTGTATTTTTTGATAAAAATAAATACAGCCTTGGTGAGCATGAGAGACTTGTTTCAAAAACATAAAAAAGCATTAATTATTTCAAAATTTTGACTGGAATGCTTTTCCAAAGATCGCAACCTCCATTTAAAAAACCTATCCTCCAAAGATGTCAGAAAACCCGAAACAAATAACTGTTTGGCAGAAAGCATATCAAAGTCGTCTGACTAAGCAATAGCTGCAGACGGTCATGCAGTTTTTTTCTCACGACACCTTTTTCAGTAATCTGTCAGGTAGTAGGGACATTTGCAGCATGCTAAACAATCTCTTTTAAGGGGGAAAAATACTTCCAATACCAAACAAGTTAGTACTTGCTGTTTTGCACTATAGTTTAAATACAGTATAAGAAAATCAGATGAGAAAAACCACAATTCAATCAAAATTGTGAAGTTTATCAATGTAAGTCAATGTGAGATTTTTGAAATGCAATCTTAAATATGTTAAAATGTTCTCACAAAGATTTATAAAAGCTAACCTGATTTGCTACATACAATGCATGTTTGCAAATTAGTCCAAGATAACATTTAACATATTAGAATGTAAAGTTCTTATGATTATGTCTTATGTCTTTTTTGAGTGCCACTAAAATGTATAGAAATATCCACTAATTGTAAGATGTATGAACTTTACATTAAATGTATTAAAAAATTACTTTCCATTTATTCTATGTAATTTAGTATCAATGTCATTGCATTGTGTGTGAGTCTAAGTAACTTATCAAGAGTTAGATAAAGCCAAACGAACCACAAAAAGTGTGTGTGTGTGTGTGTGTGTGCTTCAGTGCGTAAGTATATCTTGCTTTTATGGAGTGAGAGGGCGGGTTCATGCAGGCTAACCAGTCATCAGGAAGCAAAACAGAACAGAATGTGCGGTACTAATCTGGGAGGAAAAACACATTCTGTGCCGTGTGTGGTAACATAAATTCACATTGTCTTGCATACAAATAACCTACACATGGAACATAAGAATGAGGGAAATATATATTGGTTTCTCAAAGGGATGCTTTTTGTTTAGATATTACATAAGAAAACAGCAATGAATATAAATGACAAAACCCCAGAAGAGTTGGAGTATGATAAGGGTGAGGTAGATGTAAACATGCATACTTACTGACCTGCCCAGTGAGGCAAAAAAGCCAGTCAAAATAAAGACAGTCAGCGAAATGCTCTTTATTTGAATAAAAGGTATGTGTTACATAACTCCCCCAGTTTTTGCTTAACCCCTTAACTGTCACCCCCCATTTTTTAAAATAGGCATGCAGGTGCACTATCCACTTAAACTGTTGTAATTTATGAACACTTTGGAATACAGACATAAGGTTGGTCTCTTTTTAAAGAAGAAAAAAAGCAGATTATCGCAAAAGTGGAATGTTTTCAAAAAAATTAAAGTATCAAAAAGTTATTGTAGTTTAAATTTACTGTAAAGAAAATGCACTATATTAATTTTATTTTATATATAATAAATATTTTACATAACAGGTTTTACTCTAAAATTGGTATAAAATTAAAGCCTTATGTCTAAATAAGTTATGTTCCAAATTTGAAGTTGATATGAAAAAAATTGAGGTTCCTGTGAGATTTTATTTAGGGTGATATACCACAAACAGCCACCGGGTGACACCCAAACTCCATTTAATTTTTTAAAATGCATTTTTCTGTCACAAATGTCTAGATTGCTCTATCAATATTACTTCTATCTCAAAATAACCACCAAATATGGAATCCTGAGACTCAGACCTTTCCAATGATATGTTTTTTGTCAAGATTATAAAAAAGTTTGATTCTAAAAGACCGTAATGCATTTTGTAATATGACACTTGACACTGCCCACTAAGGGGGAGGAGACCGCCAAAATATTTTAAAGTACCATTTCCATGGTAATGCAATGTCCGATTTCAAAATGGGTTTCACAGAATGAATCTTGGGCTTCTAATCTTTCAAATAATATATGATTTATGATGATTACTAAAAGACTTGATAGAGAAAAAGGACAACAAAAAAAGGTGGGACGGTGACAGTTAAGGGGTTCCAAAACCAGGGCTGAACTATTGCCCCCAAGATTTAGCCTAAATGAGTTGCTGAGGGTCTGACACCTCTACCTCTGACACCTTATTTTGCTAATCAAAGGGGTTATAATATTGCACATATTACATCTCATATCACCAAAAGTAACACACAAAATAATAATAATAATAATTTAATTTTTTTTAAAAAGATATATTTGAATTTCATTCAATTTTTTTATTTCCAAAACAATATGTGATGATTTTGATCATATACACTGTACATATAAAATATTACAGAGAAACATCAAAATAAGTATAGCCTACATACCTATATATTCTAAAACAAGTATTGAACATATGAATATAAATATATAATTAATTTGTTAATGTTAACAACTAATGAAAACAATGTTGAGTATTCTCCGAAGTAGTTCTGAGATAGCTTCATTCATTATAACGTATAAAGAACGAAAAGGTAAGGTGTGTTATTTATAACTGTGCTGGGCCTATTCGTCAGAATTCATCCTTTAGACCAGGGGTAGGCAAAGTTCGGTCCTAGAGAGCTGCAGTCCTGCAGAGTTCAGCTCCAACCCTAATCAGACACACCTGAACAAGCTAATCAATGTCTTCAGGATTACTAAGGCTATAGGCAGGTGAGTTTTTTTTCAGGGTTGGAGCTGAACTCTGCAGGACTGCGGCTCTGTAGGACCGAACTTGCCTACCCCTGCTTTAGACACTGTGATGTGAACTATTAAAACATTTGCAGCCTTCAAATACCGTTGTCGCAGGTGTGCGATGGCTGTTTCTGAGCAGAAATGTTGCACTTCGATATTGTTAGGCCTAAAAGAGCTTTTCTTTCGACGTCCGTGTTCTTGGCGATAACCGGAAGTGCTTTACATTTAGATTGGCTCGCGAGGCACCGCAGTCACTATTGGTCAGCCGCAGTGGTGAGTTTTCGATTTTGCTAGCGCAAATAAAGCAGATTTACCGGTAAGAAAAACTAAACCTCCGTTATTTAATAACTGTATAAAGTGCACGTAAATTATAAAATAGTCAAATTTTCCCATTTAAATCACTGTTCTTGCTCGGTTGAAGTGTGTAGGCCTGTTCAAGCTAAGTTAGCCTGTTAGCTTGGTACATACGTTTAGTGTGTAACAAATCCATTCGTATTACGTTTAATTAGACTTTGATTATTAAAACATTGTTGTTCTATAAATAATTTTACTGTCGCTTGTATGTTTGTAGCTTACCTATAAAGACGCTTTTAATGCGTTTTATAAATCCTTTTAGTAATCCAGTGTTACATGCTGGTGTTTTCATTGGTTCCAAAATCAGTTTTCAACCTCTTTAGTGACGATTTTGATCGTTACATATTGCATCTTTTAAACGTAACACAACTGACACGTTAGGCTTCTATCATCCAGTTTAATTGGATATTCAAAGCCTCTGTGCTTATGTTTAATTTCTTGCAGCATTTTAGGTGTGCAGCTGAGTTTGGGGTTGGTGAAGATATGGGAGGCAAGTCTTTATTACTCTCTTCTAACATCCACTCCAGCTATGATACATTTTAGTGTGCTAGAAGAGGTGGGATAGACATATGGCACCTAAAAATACAGAGTGATGATGAAACTAAACTTTTTTTTTTTTTCTTCTCTACAGACCCTTCCCTAAGCCGGGACTGCCCACTGGATTGTAAGGTCTATGTTGGCAATTTGGGCAACAGTGGTAACAAAACTGAGTTGGAGAGAGCATTTGGCTATTATGGTCCCCTGAGGAGCGTGTGGGTGGCAAGAAATCCTCCCGGCTTTGCTTTTGTGGAGTTTGAGGACCCCAGAGATGCAACTGATGCTGTGAGGGAGCTTGACGGAAGGTAAGAACATCTATTTCAATTTAGTCCTCTGAAACTGCCATTGTCCTGCAGATTAGATTATTCTGGTTAAGCAAAGGATTTCAGAATTGAATCTTGTGTGTTTGAAGGAAACTATTCAAATGTACATAGTTGTTCCAGGGTTATTATTGTAAGCTAAGACTATAAAAATAATTTTAATTACTTGAGATATTGGTGAAGTGAAAAAAGTTTAAGTGACATGTAGCCAAGTATGATATCCTAGTAGTGAACACACACACCATGAACACACACCCGGAGCAGTGGGCAGTAGGGCTGAACGATAAATCGCATGCAAAATTTAATGCGCATCTTGTCAGTAAAGCCGGTTCTGTAATCAGCGGTAAATCTCCATCATGGGCAGCCATTTTTTGCTGTGACGCCCGGGGAGCAGTTGGGGGTTCGGTGCCTTGCTCAAGGGTCTCACCTCGTCATCGTATGAAGGTGGAAGAGAGCGCTGGTCATTCACTCCCCCCACCTACAATCCCGAGACTTGAACCCGCAAGCTTTGGGTCACAAGTCCCACGCTCTAACCATTAGGCCATGAAGCTAGTTGCCAGGCAACATTTGATCAATTTTAGTGTCCTAGAAGAGATTATACAACATAGGCATACAACACTTAATACAGAGCAATGATAATATTGCTTGAAATTAAATAATTAAAACTAAATAAAAAAATTTAATATACATTGGCTGCATGTACACTTGGCATTAACATCTGTACCCCGGATGTCGTCCACATACACATTGAAAAGACAAGTGTAAACGCGCTTCTAATCGGAATGTTATCCGATCAGTGTGTCCTGGTCCTGAGGTAGTCTAGGACACCTTGTGATCGGATCTCAGGGTAATGTAAACGCAATCCAGCCATCATGTCTGTATTCGCAGGTCAACAACACGCAAAACCCCGCCCCCCTCTCTCCCGAACTGTCAGAAGATAGATGGAGGACACCAGGCCGTAGAGCGCTAGTGAGACTCGCACACTTAACACTGTGTCTACACCGGATGTGACAGTTGTCACACCGTGCCGCAACAGCTTGAGGCTGTCTACACTGGACGCGATAAAGCGACCATTGCGAATTATTTTAACTTTGTGTCAGTCATAAATAGAAAGAGGCAACAGTTTACTGTCGGGGATTTGTCGTGTCGTGCCACATCCAGTGTAGACCGCATTACTGATTATAATGGGTTCTATAGTATTTTGTTGTGGCGCACCGCGCTATTCGCGTCCGGTGTAGGCACGGTGTAAGACTTATGTAAATATTGCGCGGGAATGAGAGATCTGATCGGTTATCCAGGTAGAAAAGTCACTTGATGTTGCCAAGTGTAAATGCACCGTGTCCTGATTGACTGATGAGCCGATCGCATGTTAATGCCAAGTGTAAACGCAGCCATTGTTTATGCTATTAAAGGGGTAATGTGATGTTGCTAAAAAGAACATTATTTGGTGTAATGAAATGTTTATGTGGTTTAAGGTTCAAAAAACATTATTTTCCACATACTGTACATTATTGTTTCTCCTCTATGCCCCGCCTTTCTTAAACGCGTCGATTTTTACGAAGCTCGTCGGTCTGAAAAGCGAGGTGTGCTCTGATTGGCCAGCTATCCAGTGTGTTGTGACGAAGGAGCGTCCGGCGGGCTTGCGGCAACCACATGTGACAACCCCGGGCTGGACTCCACTTTGTCCACGGTGAAAGCCGATCCACAGCGTGAAGTTTATATATTTCATTAGCGACCAGCACGGAATCAGCTCCAGGCAAACACTCCAAAGAGAAAGGAAAAATTGACCTAGAGCTTGTAACACTCCAAAGAGAAAGGAAAAATGCACCAAGAGCTTGAAACACTCCAAAGAGAAAGGAAAAATTGACCTAGAGCTTGTAACACTCCAAAGAGAAAGGAAAAATTGAAATCGCATCATATGACCCCTTTAAAAAAAGTCATCAGTATAATGCAGCTATTTGTTACTTTGTTAACTCAGTGTTTGTACTGTATGATGTAGAAATGTGACATGCTCTTTCTGTAAAATATTTTTATTTGTCTGCTTCAGAACACTGTGTGGTTGTCGAGTGAGAGTTGAAATGTCCAGTGGTGAAAAACGGTCAAGGTATCGAGGACCACCCCCTTCTTGGAATCGTCGCCCTCGTGATGATTATAGACGCCGCAGCCCACCCCCTAGACGGCGGTAAGGTTTCTTTTTCTGCTCTCAAACAAGGCTAGATGTCTTAAAAACCCTTTCACCTCAAGCTTAGTTATGGGCAGAATGATGAGCCTAGGTGTGGAGACTGATAAAACCAGCATCTTTTCATAAATTCAGGCAAGCTGTTCGAAAACCTTCCCCGTGCTGTCCTTGCACTGATCAGTTTTCAGCTTTTGGATTGGTTAGCCAATGCTTCATTCCCCTCTACCGATGTTCTCTATTCTAAATGAGTGCATTGAGTTTTTGCTCAGGAATATTCATTATAATTGAATTGTAGTTACAGATTTCCGAAGAATCTTCTCATTGTTTGGGTTTTATGTCATTTTTCTATTTATATTAATGAAGCTGACCACCCCACCCCCCCTTTCAGAGACATCACCAAGCCTCTACTCATCTTCCTCTGAGTCAGTCAACTAGCCCTCTTTCAGCATCATGTGACCAGCGTACACCAATCAGCTCACATGATCCAAGCATGGCCACCAGCCCATTGGTTCCTGAGCATGCCTCTCTCAGGCTCCTTCACCTCCTCCAACGTTAACCTGATCGGCAAAACCAACCACGCCACACTTACAACCAATCAACGGGTCTTATGCCCCTCCCCAAATGTCTACATGACAACATATCCTCAGCAGTCCTCATCTAGCTGACATCTTCAGCCACCTACTGTATAGCTGTTAACATCTAGCAACCATCTGGCAAAATCTCCCCGCAAATTACACCCTCCTGACAAGCACTCAGCTTCACTGCATCATAACTAGCTTGTTGAAAACAAAATAGTAAGTTAATGCCTTTTCCTCCCGCTTAATGACATTGAAATTTGTTTATTTGGTGGTTTTGAGGTATAACCTTTTTCCTGATGTTAATATGTATAATACGATATCTAAAGAGTGACTTTTTTTTTTTTTGTGTAAATCAAAACAATACATTTATATCCCTCTGTGTTTCAGTAGTTTTCATACTGAAACCTTTTTGAATCTGGAATCTGGAACAGGCACTTCTGATAGTTGTTTTGAAAAATGTTGACCCATATTGGGCTTCATAAAAACTTAATTGAAGGCCAATTGGTATCAACTCCAAAAACTATTGCGTGACGCTTCATGCATCATGAATATTTTTTGGCCATATTGACCCCTGACTTGTCAGTATTTCTTGCATCTGCATATAGGTCTCCTAGGAGGCGGAGCTTTAGTCGTAGTCGGAGCAGGTGAGTTGCTTAAATGTTTTTATAACCCTTCTGCAACTAATGTCAACACCATAACCACGTTTCCATTTTTAATTATGGCTATTCTTATGGATATAAACTAACTTTGCATCTCATCTATCAGCTCCTTAGTAATGAGATAACTATAACATATATTCTTGCTATATTCGTGTTTACTTGACTTTTATAGGTCCCTTTCCAGAGAGAGGAGAAGAGAGAGGTCTTTGTCCCGCGATAGAAACTATAAACCTTCAAAGTCTTTCTCAAGATCACGCAGGTAGGTTTACACTTGTGAGTAGTTGTGTAATGGCACAGCTAGAGTATTTACATTTATGCTGACGTAATTTGTCTTTCTTTTCAGTCGTTCACGTTCCAATGGTCGGAAGTGAGAAATGTTCAAGGCCAGCCTCATCAGAGAAAGCATGTCTGTGCGCTTCTCCTCAACAGACCAGGATGATTGGAAACAGTGATGGATTTTTTTTTTTTTGCCCCCAGTGTTTTTAAAATGTATCTTCCCCATAGTGTTCTGACTATCCTTTTTTACTTAAGATATCTGTGCTTAATGGGTAGCAATGGTTTCATCCTGCCTAAATGCCTGAATGTAATTTTATGCTCTTTGGGCAGTGAAAAGTTCTGAATGGAATGTCTGAACTCATGTCTGACTTAGATGGTCATTTGTGACCAGTTTTGTATGCTTTTTTTGTTTGTACTTCCATTAAAAGAAGTTCCTTATGAATTCACTGTATGACTTTTCTCTACAGTTCACACTGATTAGCTGTTCAGATGTTACTTGCAGTAAAGAGTTTGGTAACCCTTTTGCTATAAGGTTAAATTCATTATCACATGTATTGATATTGGGTATCATGAACTAGCAGTTATGATATAGGTTATGATCATTTTCTTCATGTACTAATGCATTATTTCAAGTTGAATAAACAATGTATTGTTAACAAACATGAATTAGTAATGAACGATAGATTTATGAATTAACTAACCTATAATGCTGCAACAAACGTTAATGATGTGTTAACAAATGTTAAACCTTATTGTAAAGGCTTTTTTGAAGGAAGGAATTTCACGTTAAAATAAAATGCTGCTTACTATGAACCTATTTTGGTTCATTTGACTGTATCTATAGTATGTGTTTTAAATTGTATCATAGGCTATTTGGTTGCATTTCTAAGCTTTAAAATGTCCACTAAAGAGCCAGCAAAACTCAAAAAGATTTTTTTTTTTTTTAATTCAAACATGCACTTAGACTGCTATCGAAAAATTTGTTTACGTCGTTCACACAGTAAGAACGATCATCAATTCTCTTCATGAAATATATACTTCAAGATCACACTTCTAATGCAGTTTGTGTCAATAACACAGGAAGTTGAGGGTAGCAGCAAAAAGGAAGCTGCATGAACTGAGCCTCCTTCAAAAGAGAAACACAGGCAACTAAAACTGCGCTGCTAAAACACCCAGGACTGCAAAGTGAATGGATCCCTGAAAGGGGCATCAGAAGGTAACATCAGTTTATCATGGTACTTTAGTAGTGTTACAAGTTGTAGGGGGCACGTCTTACATTTACGCTTTGTCATTTTGCATTTGTAAATGCAAAATTTTGCATGCAAATTACGTGGTTTTATCCTCAAATTATCCATATTGACGTTGGATTACTTAGTCATGGTATTTAGTTGAGCGGAATGTCTTTTCACATTGCGAACATCTGAGTAAAGACATGACACAACATTCATCCGTCCAACAACGTGTATTTACACATTTTTTTAAAAATATCTTTTTAAATCATTTTAATAAATAATCAGCACGTTAGGATGTATGGAAGCAAAGCAGACTGTCATTACTGGTCCATACGGGACGAATTAAATGTGTGATGGCAAGTGTCATGTTTTTTTGTTTTTTTTTAATAAACATTTGTTATATATTGAAAATATAACTCTTGACGTTATATCTATCTAGTATATTAGTATATAAAACAGCTTGTTAGGGTGGTCTGATTTTCACTGTCATTATGTATCATCACAAGCAAAAGTCTTCAGTGGAATCAATGATTTGAGAGCACATGTGTGACGGTTGGTATGAGTCATATACATGGGTCACATCACTAATGCTCTCTGGTTTCCTTTTTAATCATGTTCTTAAGTGTCAAAGATGTTTAGAAATGACTCATCTCCATTGTTTGTCTCATCATATGAACACATGAAAAGTCATGTCAGGCAGAAGATCCAAGAAGAACCAGAGACTTGGTTCATCTCGACGAGGTCCTAAAGGTCTTAACAGCAATATCGAGAAAGATGATGATGGGTTTCAGCGGATTGCAGAGTCTGAGGATGGGCGAAATGAATTTCACACCTCCACTGATTACCATTCAACCCAGTTTGATCATCCACCAAGCTCAAGCGTTGATCAACAAACATCTGCATTAGAATGTCCTCCACATGCAAGAGGTTGCAAGGATTCACTCATGGAGAATGAACTGTCAGAACAGAAAAGAAAAATGGGATCAACACGCAAGAGTACTGGTAGGTTTAAAGTTGAAAGAAAACTTGAAGTGAGGACCACTGGAGAGTTAGATGAAGAATATGTAACTCAACCAAACACATCAACCAGTGAGGAACAACATGCTTCTCTAACAGAAGAAGAACAATCAAGGTCAATGAGTTTTCCTTCTGATTTATCCCTTCAGACAAAAAGTTCTGGATTGAGAAAGGAGCCTAGAACAACTCTTATGTTTGCGGTTTTAGAAAATGAAGATAAAGATGCAATCCACTATCAAGAAATAACATCTCATTCACATGAGGTTGTAAGTGATATGCCTATAGACGAGGCAATGGTGCCATCTGTCCATTCTATTGATGTCACAGTAGCTGAAAGTGATTTGTTGCGGAAGGATTCAGTCATGTTTGATGAACCAAAAACACTTAGTCACCAAGAAATCCCAATAGCCAGTACCTCTGGACAAAAAAGAAGGATGGGCTCAACCCGCAGGCCTCTCGGAGGGAAAAACAGTGACAATGTAGGTGTGCAAGAACATTCAAGAAACATGACAGAGAATGGAAGTAAAGCAGAAGTCATAGGCGAAGCAAAGTTCACCATGTCAGAAGAGATGGCGCAAACATGGGATGATGTGGCAAGAGATGTTTCATCGTCTCACACAGAATCAGCTTTGGTTTTAAATCAGTCTCTGTTGGCTGAGAGAGCTGAGCTGAAAGAGCCTGATGTTTCGGCAGGAACTGAAACTATGAACCAATCAGTTGCTTTTCCCCTTGTTGATTCAGAAAAGCCCCTACCTGAAACATCTAGCCACCATGGAACTCCATTACTCAACGAGGGATTGGATTTTAAGTTTGGTTCACACACTGAGGATTTTGTAAACAAAGTTTGGAAAGAAGCAGAAAGTCATTTAAGTGATAACAGCCAACATGTGTCTGATACAAGAAAAGATACAAACACATCTTACAACTTTAGAGCTGTAAACACAGAAGCCAAGGAGGAGGTTTTAAAACAGAAAGAGGAACTTTCTATAAATGATCAAGAATCTTCATTAAGCCAACATGACATAGCTACTCTAGATAATAACTGCGATTGTTCTATGGCTCAACTTATAGTGGGAGGAAGTAGAAGTTTTGATGTGCCTGTGCCTAATATTAGCCATGCAGAACCCACAGCAACCAATTTACCACATGAGATGAGTGATGCTGTTGATGAAACGCAAGAGATTCATATGGAAATTAAACAAGAAAGTAATGTTTGTGATGTTGCTTCAGTAACATGTGATACTCTGACTGATTTAGAATGTATTATGGAAGAAAATAAAGATCCCCAAATTTTAGCTGCGAGAGAAAATGAGAATACGAGTGATCAAAGAGGATCTGAAACAGACAATGCATTTGAAATTACAGGCCAGGGTGATGTAAGAGATCACAATGTAACACAAATAATAATGGATGTAAGAGATAATGAAAAAGACGGAGAAACAAGCACAGAGACCATTTGGATTTCACACCAGAGACCATGTGAAGTTTCAGCTGAAAAAGAGGAGCTATATAAGGAAAAACAGCAATATTCATCGAATATATCTCAAACACACAGTCCACTACAAGATGATGCTGGGAAGATGCTAGAAACTGATGAGGTTAGAAAAGGCAAAAAAGAGACTGCTGCAGGTAATGGTGTGACCTCAAAGTCAGAGGAAATGTTTAGTTTTAAAGACTCAGCAACAGATACAAGATCTCACGCACACCAACAACTCTTCATGCAATCTCCTGATAACGAAGGCTATGACTCACATGAAAATGTGAATGAGAAAAGTGAAAAGGAAGGAATACTTTTCAGTGTAGAATCTGAGAATGCAGCTTTTGATAGAGGCGATGGGAGAAGTGAAGTAACAGAAGGAATTAAGGAGATGGATGCAGAACCCGTCGTGATATCAGATGGGGACACTGTGTATAATGATAGTGAATCAGAAAACCCAGAGCAAAACAGAGAATTAACAGAGGAGCAAACTGATACATCCTCTGATACAAACCTGCAAGTATTACTTGAAGGAGACACAGTTCTCATGCAAAGTGACATCAACATCATTCCTAAAGATTCTCACAGAGAAGAGGCACACTCAAAATCAAGTCCAGTTATTCATAAGAGAAAAATGGGCTCAACTCGTAGACCTCTCAGAGAGAAAAATGGACAAAGAAAAGAAAAAGAACATCATGATGAAAATGAGACACCTGACAGTGAAGATATGATCAATGTAGAGAAAGAAACAATTAGTTTGGAGGATGAACCCAGTCTAGATGAACCTAGATATACTGCAGTGAGTGACATTTCAGAATCACAAACCCTCACAAAATTACATGCAGAGTGCCAAGAAGTTTATAACGATGTTGAAAGAGCACTAGTAGGGAGAGACACAGAACCACACTCAGTTCAAACCGAAATCACAACTCTTAATTCAGCCACATTTGAAGGAGAAGAAACAGAAGAGATCATCTGTGAAGCTAGTGTTGTAGTCAAAGACATTGAGTTTATTGGCGATACAGTTACAGTGGAGAGTAATATGACTATTAAGTCAGATTTGCTTCAAAATGACATTTCCACTGATGCAAAACCAGAAGCACTGATATCTGAAATAGCTGAGAATGAAAGAAAAACAGACACAATTCCCAAACAAAGTTACGCCAACATCATTCCAGAAGTTCCTCACAGTGAGGAGGTACACACAAAATTGAGTCTTAATGTTCAGAAGCGAAAAATGGGCTCAACTCGTAGACCTCTCAAAGGGAATAAAGGACAAAGAAAAGAACATCATGATGAAAATGAGACACTTGAATAAGTTACAGTGGAGAGTAATATGACTATTAAGTCAGATTTGCTTCAAAATGACATTTCCACTGATGCAAAACCAGAAGCACTGATATCTGAAATAGCTGAGAATGAAAGAAAAACAGACACAATTCCCAAACAAAGTTACGCCAACATCATTCCAGAAGTTCCTCACAGTGAGGAGGTACACACAAAATTGAGTCTTAATGTTCAGAAGCGAAAAATGGGCTCAACTCGTAGACCTCTCAAAGGGAATAAAGGACAAAGAAAAGAACATCATGATGAAAATGAGACACTTGAATATGAAGGTATGATCAATGTAGAGAAAGAAACATTCAGTGTGGAGGATGAATCCAGTACAAATGCATCTCCATTAAGAAACACAAAAGATGGAGCTAAAGAACAGGAGATGGAAATATGCGAGAAGAATGATGTTGGTCCTGTTGAAGGGTCTGAATCCGCTGACCTGCAGTCATCATGTAGTTCAGACTTAACATCTGAGGAATCCATTGCAATAAGTATCTGTCACATCACAGAATCACAAACCCTCATGAAACTGGATGAAGAGTCCCAGGAAAATGCTGGAGATGCTGAAAAAGTGGCAGCAGAGAAAGACAAAGACTTACAATTAAAAATTGAATCACAGAACAAAATATTTGACTCAACAACTAGTGAAGCTGAAGGAACAGAAGAGAACATCAATGATGTTAGTGTGACATTAGTCAGAGAAGTTGAAGTTATTGGAGATACAGGTACAGTGGAGAGTAATGTGACTACAGAGTCAGATTTTCTTCAAACTTCTCCTGATGCACACATCGAAGCATTGAAAATATCTGAAAATGCTGAGGAAAAAGTTTCAGAAGAAACAGACACAATTCTTAAGAAAGAACAGGAGATGGAATTATGTGAGGAGAATGATGTTGGTCCTGTTGAAGGGTCTGAATCTGCTCTCCTGCAGTCATCATGTAGTTCAGATTTAGTTTCTGAGGAATCCACTGCAGTAAGTATCTGTCATGTCACAGAATCGCAAACCCTCATGAAACTGCATGAAGAGTCCCAGGAAAATTCTGGAGATGCTGAAAAAGTGGCAGCAGAGGAAGACAAAGACTTACAATTAAAAATTGAATCACAGAATAAAATATTTGACTCAACAACTAGTGAAGCTGACAGAATAGAAGAGAACATCAATGATGTTAGTGTGACATTAGTCAGAGAAGTTGAAGTTATTGGAGATACAGGTACAGTGGAGAGTAATGTGACTACGGAGTCAGATTTTCTTCAAACTTCTCCTGATGCACACATCGAAGCATTGAAAATATCTGAAAATGCTGAGAAAGAAGTTTCAGGAGAAGCAGACACAATTCTTTTACAAAGTGACATCAGCATCATTCCTGAAGTTTCTCACAGAGAAGAGGCACACTCAAAATCAAGTCCAGTTATTCATAAGAGAAAAATGGGCTCAACTCGTAGACCTCTCAGAGAGAAAAATGGACAAAGAAAAGAAAAAGAACATCATGATGAAAATGAGACACCTGACAGTGAAGATATGATCAATGTAGAGAAAGAAACATTCAGTGTGGAGGATGAATCCAGTACAAATGCATCTCCATTAAGAAACACAAAAGATGGAGCTAAAGAACAGGAGATGGAAATATGCGAGAAGAATGATGTTGGTCCTGTTGAAGGGTCTGAATCCGCTGACCTGCAGTCATCATGTAGTTCAGACTTAACATCTGAGGAATCCATTGCAATAAGTATCTGTCACATCACAGAATCACAAACCCTCATGAAACTAAATGAAGAGTCCCAGGAAAATGCTGGAGATGCTGAAAGAGTGGCAGTAGGAGGAGAAACAGACCTCCATTTAGAAATTAAAGCACAGATCAAAACATCTGACTCAACCAGTGAAGGAGAAGGAACAGAAAAGAACAATATGATCAATGTAGAGAAACAAACAATTAGTTTGGAGGATGAACCCAGTCTAGACGAATCTACATTACAAAGTTTAAAAGATGGAGCTAAAGAACAGGAGATGGAAATATGCGAGAAGAATGATGTTGGTCCTGTTGAAGGGTCTAAATCCACTGACCTGCAGTCATCATTTAGTTCAGACTTAACATCTGAGGAATCCATTGCAATAAGTATCTGTCACATCACAGAATCACAAACCCTCATGAAACTAAATGAAGAGTCCCAGGAAAATGCTGGAGATGCTGAAAGAGTGGCAGTAGGAGGAGAAACAGACCTACATTTAGAAATTAAAGCACAGATCAAAACATCTGACTCAACCAGTGAAGCAGAAGGAACAGAAAAGAACATACATGATGCTAGTGTTTTAGTGAGAGAAGTTGAAATTATTGGAGATACAGTTACAGTGGAGAGTAATATGACTTCTGAGTCAGACTTTCTTCAAAGTTCTGATGCATTGAAGGCACACTCAAAATCAAGTCCAGTTATTCATAAGAGAAAAATGGGCTCAACTCGTAGACCTCTCAGAGAGAAAAATGGACAAAGAAAAGAAAAAGAACATCATGATGAAAATGAGACACCTGACAGTGAAGATATGATCAATGTAGAGAAAGAAACAATTAGTTTGGAGGATGAACCCAGTCTAGATGAACCTAGATATACTGCAGTGAGTGACATTTCAGAATCACAAACCCTCACAAAATTACATGCAGAGTCCCAAGAAGATTATAACGAGGTTGAAAGAGCACTAGTAGGCAGAGACACAGAACCACACTCAGTTCAAACCGAAATCACAACTCTTAATTCAGCCACATTTGAAGGAGAAGAAACAGAAGAGATCATCTGTGAAGCTAGTGTTGTAGAGATGAATCTAGATATACTGCAGCGAGTGTCTGTGACATTTCAGAATCACAAACCCTCCCCAAAACTCATGCATTGTCCCAGGAAAATACTGGAGATGTTGAAATAGTGCAAGCAGAGGGAGACACAGAACAACACTTAGAAAACAAAACATTTGACTCAACAGCATTTGAAGAAGAAGCAGCAGAAGAGAACATCTGTGAAGCCAGTGTTTTAATCAAAGAAGTTGAGTTTATTGGCGATACAGTTACAGTGGAGAGTAATATGACTATTAAGTCAGATTTGCTTCAAAATGACATTTCCACTGATGCAAAACCAGAAGCATTGATATCTGAAATTGCTGAGAATGAAAGAAAAATAGACACAATTCCCAAACAAAGTGACGCCAACATCATTCCAGAAGTTCCTCACAGAGAGGAGGTACACACAAAATTGAGTCTTAATGTTCAGAAGCGAAAAATGGGCTCAACTCGTAGACCTCTCAAAGGGAATAAAGGACAAAGAAAAGTGAGAGTAGAATCCGAGGAAAAGAATGGAGATAATGAAGTATTGTCAGAAGTGGAAGACACAGAAACACGCTTAGAAATTCAAAACCAGGATAACGTGGTTGATCACAATGTGACACAAGAAATTATGAATATAAGAGATAATGAAGATGAGGAGAGAAAGACCACAAAGACAGTGGACATGTCAGTGCAGGAGCTATGTGATGATTTGGAGCTAGAGCAGAGACCAGATGTATCTCAAACACAAACTGGTCCATCACAGGATGATACTGGCTCATATTTATTAGAGGTCCCAGAAAGAACTGCAGATTTTGTTAGAGACAGATTTGCCTGTAAGAGTCATTCTGATCTGGTCTTGTCTGATGCCCTGCTTATAGAGGAAACACAAATTCATGTGTCATCTGAGGATGTTCCGCCGAAAGAGATGGTTGAAATGCATCCAGTCTCCAAAAGGCCTATGCAGAAGAGAAAAATGGGGTCAACTCGGAAGAGAGGGAAGAGAATGGTGAATGACGAGGAGGTTGAAGAAGAGAAAGAGGGAGAAGCTGAAAATACAACAAATGATGATGGAACCACAAAGTCAGAGGAGAATTTAACTATTGAAGAAGCCATTGTAGGATATCCTGTACACCAGCAACTCTTTAGTTCATCTGCTGATAAAGAAGGTCATGAGATTCAGGATATTGGTAGTAAATCAGATGTGCAGACAGAAATCTCAGAACAAAATGATCCAAATTCTACCATAAATCCAGAACTATTGATAGAATCTGAATGTTCTTCAAATGTTGCTGCTGAGATGGTTTCAGACCTTCCATTGGGAGATGCTGACACATACTTAGGTCCTAAACAAAGTGTCATTCCTAAAGAGTCTCTTAGAGAAGATCAATCAAGCTTGAATCCAGTTGTTCAAAAACGAAAAATGGGGTCAACACGTAAGACGCTCAGAGGGAACAAAGGGCAGGGAAAAGAAGTAGAATCCAAAAAGATGGATAGAGATAGCGAAGAAATGACACAGGAACAGGATACAGAACCACATTTAGCAACCAGTGCAAGAAAAACTGAATGTAAATTTGATGAAGAGGTTGAACAAAACTTCCCTGTTGAATTTTCCTATCCAGTGGCTTCTTCAAAAATGTTCTCTGAATCAGAAAATGGAGTGAAGGAAGTTTCTCCAAATATCCATGACCTCTCTGAGGTGAGTGAGGAAAAGGGGATGGAAAGTACTGGAAATTACAGTAATAGTGAGAATAAGGCAATCAATCTCTATGACGGGACAAAGGACAAATTTGTCTTGACAGTTAGTCACGAAGATGTTGATCAAACCGTGACTGTAGATTACCTTGATCAGCATGTTTATGTAGGATCAGAGCCTGAACAAACTGAAAACACAGCCCATTCTTTTCCCACACAAGAACTAAAAAACACTCAGGATGATGTTGTTTATGAAATCAGTTCCACCCAAGAAAAGAGGCGAAAGATGGGCTCAACCCGGAGATATCCTAGAGTAATGCATGGGGAAAATATGGCCAATAATGAAGATGGACTTGGTGTGGCAGAGGATAGAGAAACTAATAAAGCAGAAGATGATTTGGATGATATGCCTTTAGCATCAAGCATCAGTCAGTCCAAGGAAGTGTCTTCAGTCAGTACCACAGATCTTGAATCAGAAATTTTAAGTAGTGCAACTGATTTAAAAGGTGAAAATGATCATCAGAACAATTCTGAACCCAGTGGACCAACAGTGCCTGAAACACCTGAAAATACCCTTCAAATATGTGATAATCAGTTAGTAAATGCTGATGTTACCAAACATCCACAGTCAGAGACTGTTACCACTGAGAAGAGAAGAAAGATGGGCTCCACTCGGAAAAATCTCAGAGAAGGAAGAATACAAGGAAAAAGAGATGGATATGAAGAAACAGAAACTGCAGACACAAATCTGCAGATGTCTCAGGACTCTGAAATGAGCTTAGGGGAACAAACAACTCACAATTACTCTAATCAGTCAGAGGATTCACTTCTCCGTGAGATAGAAAGAGCATTAAATAAGACGTCTCAAAGTTCAATGAGTAATGATCGGGAATCAATCGTCAAAGAGCCTAACCCTGAAGACTTAGCGAATGCTTCTGATCTTAATATGTCAGAAAACTCCGAAATCAAATCTCTCCAGCCGACACCATTGGCTCACAGTGAACCCAACTCACCAGGAAGACGAAGAAGAAAAATGGGTTCAACTCGCAAGAATCCCAGAGAGCAGCTCAAAGCAGAAAGGGAGGATGAAGACAAAGAGGATGGGGAGAAAGATGAGAATTTAAAGACGAATAAGCAAGAAAACAAGGATCTTGAAAGAGTTGAGGTGTCTATAGTGCATAATATCACTGAAAACAAACTGAATAAAGAGTATCTTGATGTCTCTAGTGCACACACAAGTAGCAGTCAGCTAGAAGAGAGCACTAACCCTGTTAGCCAAGAAAGGACGTCTCCATCAACTAGAAGGAAGTTTGGGTCCAGACGCGCTAAGGGCAAACAAGGCCTTGGTAGTCTGGCCGCTTCTGATTTTGGGAATGAATTAGAAGATGGAGATCATAAACCAGACAGCTCTGAGGTTGAGGACAAGCTGCGCAGTGATGACTTAGAGGTATATATCTCTTTGTTTAGAAAATGTCCTTATATTTTGTACTTCAGCCTATAATGGTACTTGCTTTAAAACACTAACAAATGTCTGTATTGTTAAGGTTTGTGATCCATGCCTCACCTTACAACCAGAGAATCAACCAATTACCCATCCAGTCTCTGAGCAGAGGAACATGGAAGCCAAGTATGAAACAGAGCAATATAAGAGCTCTTTGTCTGTTATAAGAAAGTAATTTACTTGTTTGTTTGTTTTTTCAATTCTGTTTTGTTTTTCCTGCTCCAGAAATGAAGAAGCTGCTCCAAAAGGCACTGGTGCTGGTCTCGTTTCTTTGGACCAAATCATGAAACATGATAGAAGCACTGGAGCTAAGCAGACGGTAAATCTCAAGAACAGGAGTGAGTAAAGTGATAAAACATTGTCATGCAATTATTTCTTAAAGTTTAATATCTAATACTCATCTAAACACAAACTCTGTCATATAGTTTCAGATGCTGAAGTAGTTCAGTTTAACGTTGTCATGGTGGGAAACAGCTGTGTGGGGAAGACTTCCTTCATCAGACGCTTCCATGAAGGGCAGTTCACTGAGGATTACCACTCCACTATTGGTGAGTGTTGCGTTGGAGAGCAGGCATTCTTGTTTTTCTGAAGCAATTATTCACACTTCCATTCAAAAAGAGTCAGCAAGATTTTTAAAATGTTTTTGAAAAAAAGTCTGTTATGCTCATACAGTTTATTTGATCAAAAATATAGTAAAAACAGTACTATTGTAAAATATTATTAGAATTTCAAATACTTTTCTATTTTAATATATTTTAAAATTGATTGAATTTATTCCTGTGAAGTCATTACTCCAGTCTTCAGTGTCACATGATCCTTCAGAAATAATTCTAATATGCTGATTTGATTCTTAATAAACATTCCTTATTATTATCAATGTTGAAAACAGTTGTGCTGATTAATATTTTTCTGGATACATTTTTTCAGGATTTTTGTAACTTTATTAATGTATTTACTGTCACTTTTGGTCAATTTAATGCATCCTTTCTGAATAAAGGTGCTAATTTCTTTAAAACATCTTACTGACCTTAAATTTACAATGGTAGTGTATAAGGTGTCATGGTACACTATAGAAATAAATGATTTCTAAGAAGAAAAAATGCAGCAACAGACAGCCTAATGATAACGATCAGTTCCAAATGTATAAATATATAAAGGAGAATAACTTATTTTATGTTAAAATGTTATATATTTTATGTTTTGCACCCAGGTGTTGACACCTGTACACAGACTGTTGCTCTGCCTGACAGAACTGTTCAACTGCAGATATGGGACACAGCAGGTCAAGAGAGGTAAGACATAGGAACAAATTAACACATGATGAAAAAAGTTGTTGGTGTGTAATTTAACCCAAAAAATCTTTATAAGGTTTCACAGCATCACCACACAAGTGTTCCACAAGGCTGATGGGCTTCTGCTCATGTATGAAATCACATGTTCAAATAGTTTTATTTCTGTACGGGATTGGATCTCTCGAGCTCAGGTATCTAATGTTTTCATGTTCCTTATATTTTAGTCAAAATATATGGAAATGTCCCCTTCCCTAAATTGTATTATGACAATGTTACACAAGAAAAGGGCTCCCGATGATGTCATCATGATGTTGCTTGGAAACAAGAATGATTCTGTAGAGCGTGCAGTCCAGATTCAGGAAGGGGCAGATCTGGCCAGAGTAAGCGTTCATTGTGACCCGAAAAGTACTGTCCAATTGTTTTGCCTGAGTATATTTCTACTAAAAGTTTGGTTGTATTTTCCCTTCATTAGGAGTATAACATACATTTCATGGAGTGCAGTGCTGTAACTGGGGCGAATGTGTCAGAATCCATGAGAACTCTTGCAGAGTAAGACTCAAAACTAACAAAACCCATCACACCAATTATTACTTGTTCAACATGTGTGTTTTCTGTCCATGCATAAAGACTCATTTCTTGTTGCTACTAGGTTGTTAATGCAGCGCAAATCACAGAAGGAGAGACACACAACATTGAGAAGAGAACCATCACAGAAGAAATCTGGTTGCTGTTGAAAACACACTCCCACACACACAACATGCATGACCATTCAAAAGTTTGGGTTAGTTAGATATTTTTTGTAGAAATTAATACTGTTATTCAGCAGTTATGCATTAAATTGATCAAAAGTGACAGTAAAGACTATATCGATACAGGAAAAAAAAAAACTTTTTTTAAAAATTTTCTGTTTATCAAAGAATCCTGAAAAAATGGTTTATAATTCATAAATTATCAGCTTTTCTGTCAGAGGAATAAATAAAACCTAAAAAAGGTAATAATATTTCACAATATTACTGTTTTAATTAAATGCAGTATTGGTGAGTATAGCAGACTTTACATTAAATCTTACCAACCCCAAACTTTTGAGGGTAATGTACAAACAATTTGTAAAAAAGCAAAGGCAAAAAAAGTAAGCTGCTTATATTTAGTTGCTTAAGGAGAATGTAATTTCTGTATTTTATAAATTTGCACAAAGTACAATAAGGATTTCACACATAATAATATAATCATAAATGTATTTAATGTCTGTTAAGTGCTTTAATTCCAACTGCAAGTGCTGAGTGTAAGTAAAAATGAATACAAACAAATAAAAAAAGCTATACTCTTACAATTTAGAGTTTATGAATGATGAAAAATCTCTGTTTCGTGAATTATTAGTTAGCACAGACTAAATCAGAGGTACTAGTCAGCCTTCAAAACAAGACACTACTTTAAATAACAAAAAGCTACATTTTGCTAGAAATGGTATAGAATGTTAGAAAAACAAAGGATATGTCATCTCATTTTGTCATCATAATGTCAAAATTCATAGATTATTTCACTGTTTGTGAGGTCTTTGTGGAAAAAAAACAAACATAAGCAATAAATATTAATGTATACACACATTCATGACACACAACTCACTGGCTTAGATCACGGACAAACAGAATGGCTATAATAAGTAAACTGAGGAAGAGGGCAAATACGATGAAGAAAATCTGAGCTGCCCACTGACTGTGCGGCACTCCTGTCACCGCTCTGGACCATTCAGAAGGAATCATGTTGGTCAGGTTCAGCATGTAGCCCAATGTCCAACCAATATCTGTGTCTGCTACCTGTAACAATCTTATATGAGTACAAATCACACTGATGGGGAAAGTAAGGCCATATACAGGGAGATTCCCAGAAGTAGGAGGTTTCCTCATACTTCTGGAGCAGAGGTTATCTGATATATTGTCAGGTTGCCGTTGAGCACATGGCATGATGTCAGTTTATGAGCTGCTTCCACTGTGCTCTTGAGCAATGCAAATAATCTGAGGTTAAATTATAGTCTCTAACGATTTATGAATCACTGAATATCCATATTCAGTCTGCTATATTAATAAGGAGGAGATTGATCTGTATGCATGAAATTCATAAATTCACATTACTGAACAGCTTCATTTCGGTAAAGGAAGGCTAATAATTTAAACTGATGAAACCTTACCTGTTTCACAAAAGAGATTTGATCCCAGGTGTTATTGAACTTGTATCCTTTCAAGAGAATAGTCATAATATAATGAGCAGAAGCACAATAATCTTTCAGATATTTTGCCGTAATGTTTGGATTTTCAGCGGTAAGCTGCAGAAAGAAAAAACAGTCATAAAAATTAATTTAAGGATCAGTATTACAAAAGATAACACCAGCATCATCAAATGGACTCATATTGTGATTCACTTCTCATCTCACCAGGCTTTTTACTATAAAATGTAGGATTGCAATTAGTATCTGTGAACTCACAGAGGTCCAGTTTTTGTTGCAGTGAGTCTCAATAGTGGAAAGAACCTGGGTCAGGGGAGCTTTTGGGACAAGTCCAAGGAAGTCAAAGGTGTAGAAGTATGCAGAAAAAGCCTATGGACATAATAGTATAGCTATCATAAGTTATTTACAACAAAAAAAGGATAGTAGAGGATAATTTTTATATAAATATCATTTAAAATAGTAACTTGTTGGCTACTTCTGTATGTGTCGATTCAGTAACCGCTCTGATAGATTCAGCTGCGTGTGCATTGCTAATAACTTCATTTGGACAGCTTTAAAGGTGATTTTCTCAATATTTAGATTTTTTTGCACCCTCAGATTCCAGATTATCAAATAGTTGTATCTCGGCCAAATATTGTCATATCCTAACAAACCATACATCAGTGGAAAGCTTATTTATTCAGCTCAATTTAGTAAAATTGACCCTTATGACTGGTTTTGTGGTCCAGGGTCACATTTATATGACACATCAGTCAGTTATTGATAAGTACAGTCACCTAAGAAGCCGCATGCCAGCAGTGGCACCAAGGTACACAGGTGTAGTTTTCCGCTCTCCTTCTGGTATTGCTGCCTTGGCAACATCCAAGCATTTCTTAAGACTTTCTCCAGCTGCCAGAGGGTTCTGTACATAGCTGGATATGCCATCACCTAAAAAAAAAAAAAATGTTTTGACAGTTAAAACTTATGTACACATTGTATAGCCTTCTCATAGGGACCGGGATCCCAGCCATTTAGGCCACGTGAATTTTTGTGATGGCCCTGTTGAAACTGTTTTTTTTTTTTTTTCTATTCCTTGTAAAACCTAAAGCAAATGAAGTAAATGCATTAGATTCAGCTTTGTCACCTTATAAAGCATAATTTAATCACCGCAAAGTGTTATAATGTTAGGGAACAGAGAGCTGGTCAAGGTTCCAGCGCTGTACTCACCATCCACATCACAGCTCTGTTTCTGAGAGACTATTCCAGTGTTATTCTCTTTGTTCCCCAGCCACTGGTACAGGAAAAGTGCCGTGTGAGTGGAGCCGGCATCAAACACAATCCCATACTGAGGAAGTCAGACAAAGAGTTCCATAAATTTAGACAAAACTTGATTTAATGGGTGTGCTTACTTTCCCAAGAGAAACACACACACATCCTGAGGGAAAACATTTGGCAGTATCACATTCATGTTATACCACAGGATTCATAAAAATAGTTTGTGTTGAGGAATTGTATAGAATTTATTTGGTTTGGTATACTTGTGGTCTGAAATAATATATTTTTTTCATGTTGTTTTAAGTTAGTTTTTTTTACCATGGATTGCTTTGTTTTTGTGAGACAGACAGTGTAAATGATGAATGATGATGTAAGTGTGAAATACATAATCGGGGTTATACGCAACAAACTTCTGTATTCTGGAAAACAGGTTGCGATGCTTCCGGTTAGTGTATTTTGTATGTGCTTTGTTAAATATGGAGCTGTTTTACTAAAGATGCCTCCGGCACATATGCAGACTGATATCTAAAAGTTTATTTTTGCTCTTCTTTTCACTAACATTCTGATATTAAAATTGAATAAAACTCCAACAATAAAAACAAATAGCTAGGTTAGCTGATTACTATAGAAGTCAAGATACTAGCATCAGTCCATACTGCTATTAACACTTTCTCCGTCAAGCAGGAGAATTTTGGTAACACTTTACAATAGGGTTCACTTTGTTAACATTAGTTAAAGCATTAGATATCATTAACTAATAATGAACAATACTTTGCAATAATATGCTTTAAAATAAGGTCAGATTAGTTGACCTTAGTTAATACATTAACTAACAATGAACAATATATTTGTTACAGTATTTATTAATCTTAAACATTAGTTAATAAAAATACAAAGGTTTATTGTTCAGGTCAGTTAACTAATATTAAGAGATACAACTTTTGGTTAACACTTTAATTTAGGGACCAATTCTCACTAATAACTAGTTGCGCATATTACTAGCATATTGGCTGTTTATTACTTACAAAGCACATATTAATGCCTTATTCTGCATGACCATATTTTGGATTCCTTACTCCTACCCCAAACCTGAACTTAACAACTACCTTACTATTTATTAATAAGCAGCAAATTAGGAATTTACTGAGGCAAAAGTCATAGTTACTAGTTAGTTAATAGTGAGAATTGACTCCCAAACTATAGTGTGACCAGCTTTTGATTTTATTAGTCAATGTTGAAATTCACATTAACTGAGATTAACCATTTTTTATTGTTAGTTCATCTTATTAACCTTAATTAAACCTAACTGTAAAGTGTTACAGAATTTATTCATTTAGGTTCATGTTAATTTCAACAAATACTGATACATTAACATTTCAGCTTGAAATGTTAACGTGTGTAGTTAGTTGTAAAGTGTCACTGTTATTTTTGAAGTTAGTTTTAGAAGGTTTTTATTTTAAATGATTAAAAACAGGAGTTAAGTGTGTGTCCTTAAAAACATCTAAATTCAATTCATGAATATCTTAACAATAAACACTTGTTTTAGAAACAAATAGACACATATCGTGTGTAGTCAAAATGTTATCACTAATGTGACACTAGTGCATGTGTTCACGGATACAGGTTTAAATGTCCTGTTCCCATTTCCCTTCTTTCACCCTCCAATTTCCTGTCGGTGATTGCCCTCTACAAAAGTGGTCATGAATAAAAAAAAATTAAATCCTTCATAGCTCAAACTGTGACCTTTGAAAAGTTTAACATAAAAAAGAACTTATTTTTTAAATGTTTCAAAGACAACAAATTGTAGGAATGACCAGTGTCACACCCTCAACTGTTATCCGACACCACCAATATATATTTATTATAATATCCGATAAAGCAAATATTGACACCTGTTCAGATTATCTGTTTTTAATAAACAACATGTAGTGCAAGCAGAAGACATTTTCTGATGGGTATCTCTTATAGTGTTGACTTTTACAACTCAGATGAACTTCTCACAGAACCGCATTAATCTATTAAAAATCTATACAAAAGCACATTGTAACTGACAGTTGAACATCTTTGCACCTGTGTTGAGTATGGCCGATCCAAAGTCTGATGATTGGCAAGAGAGAGAATCAAAGCGATGATGGTTGTACAAGCTACGGCTGCCATTGCAGCACCCAGCAATAAAGCTTTCATCTGAATTCCCATATCTGCAATCTGTCCAGAAGCAAAACAAATATGCACTACAGGTACAAGGATGATCCACAAATATGTGAAGTTCATTTCATGCATGCCAAAGTTAAATAGTCAAATCCTGTTTCAGACACATTAATTTGTCATAGCTTTGTTTACACTTCACATGCACATTCAAGTCTACAAGTGTACAAGATCAAGAGAATCAATTATTAACCGAGATCTTCAATTAATCTTTGATGTTTTAAAGCTGATTGGCAGATAACAGTAACACTTCAGAGAGAAAGCAAGTGTCTTACCTTCTTCCCTCTCCTTTAGCTGTCCGGATGAACTTTCTTTATGAACCTATACGTGCCTGTGTATTGAAGACAGGTATGTGCAATGTTGATACCTCCACACCTTAACTCCAGCCAGGGCCTTTGGGAACTGAAGTTATACTCCCACTTCCCCAGTATATCTTCAGCTCATTACACACACACACACACACACACACACACATAACACTCTCACTAACTTTTCCTCTTTTACACAGTAGTACTTAACACACAGTTAAGTACAACACCTCACATACTCACAAACACACACCCTGGTTTACAACCTCAAAGTTTCATTGGACCAAATATCCTCTCTTATTTTTATGTATCAATATCACAAGTTGAATCATTTATAGGAAGTTTTCTTAAAGAATTTGACAGGAACTGTGGGAACTGATAAAAAACCTTATCTGAATAAAACCGAAAGCATGCGCTAACCTCATTCACCAATAGCAACTGTTATTTTGGGGGGGGGGGGGGGGACTTGGTACACAAGTTTGAAACATTCTTCGAAATATCTTTGAGTTACAAACACTCTATGGACTTTTAATAGTCCTTTGAATGTCCACCAATAAATTGCAACCAGCAACACCAGTAAATTATAGACTAAATGTTAAAATATATTGGTCATTATTTTTTTATCTTTCTCAGTTCTTTCTTTCTTAATAAACAAACAAACAAGCAAACAAATAATTCAAAAATCAACAGTAGTTGGTTGATGAATGGATATTTCCTTCACTGACTCTTAAGCAGTCTGGAATTCCTTTTTCTCCTATATGAGGAACTTTTGGCAAAAGTTACCTTTTAACTGGTTATGTAGACTAGATACTTTAAATGACAAGGAACAACTGCTAGTCTTTTAGTAACACTTTAAATTAGGGAATGCATATTCACTATTAACTAAGCGTTTTCCCTCAATTAACTCCTAATTACTGCTTATTGATCGTAAGTAAGGTAGTTGTTGCAGTGGTTATATATTAGGGTTAAGGGGTATAGAATATGCAGAATAAATAATTAAAATGTGTTTTATAAGTACTAATAAACACCCAATATGCTAGTAATATGCATGCTAATAAGCAATATTCAGTAGTGTTCCCTAATCTTAAGTGTTACTATTCTTTTATATGGATAACACATTACTAGCATAAACAGACTCTTACTGTGCATTTCTATGGAAATGGCTAATTAGATTCGGAACAGGTGTGACAAATATTCTTGTGTGTCCTTTTAGCTTAACCACCTCAGCAACCTGATTGAGGGATTTGCAGCTAACCATGTATTTCCACATAAAGAAAACTAATTGCTCACGGTCACGCTCAGTTTTAAATTAGTGAGAAAAAAAGACACGGTTCGGTCAGGACGTATCGTAAATCACTGCTTAAATCTGGTATGAATACCTTCTGCTGTCATAAGCTTTTGTTCTCAATCACGCAATCACACCTGTTGCTCACTCCCTTGTGTGTTCAGATGTTCACATTTTGAACATTCGAGCCCACAAACAATAGAGATCAGTAATAGCAGAAAATGGATGAATATCTGTTTGATAATCCTGTGGGGGCCATGACATTGTCAACAAGTTTAAGACTCATTGCTTGAGCCATATGATGTTCAGTTCATTTTGAGAAGCAAAACTTGTCTGCGACAAGTAAAAAGTTAGGCAGATGACTGGTGACTTTTTCCTGACTTGTTATTTGCTGTAACTATTTTCTTAATTAGTCACATTCAACAGTGTTACTGATTTGGCCAGTAAAATTCTCCACCCTAACATGACATAAAATATACAGTGATTCTAAGCAAATAAGATGCATTATCAGATTAAAGGTCATTATAATCTGCCACATCCTTGGTCGGTGAAAACTTAGTTCTGCTATGACAACTCTCAGAGAGTTTAGCATGGTAATATACATGGCAATGTCAATGTGTTTGGTCTTGGTGGAATAGATCTGCTACGTTGCTGCCGCTGCAGAGCAAGTATGGGGGTGTGTGTGTGTGTGTGTGTGCATTACGCCTATGGAGAGTCCCCACAAGGATAGCAAACCTGTGTGTGTGTGTGTGTGTGTGTGTGTGTGTGTGTAAATATATGTATATGTATATACAAACACACACACCCATTCATACTGTGCTTTTACTTTATCATTTTATTATCATATACTGTCACTCACATAATAGTTTATAAAAGATGATGTAGATCTGTTTGTTTACTGTTCATATTATTATTATTAGTCTTTCTACAGAAACTACTGTATATGCTGTCTTTCTCTATTTACATTTTATAATACATTCATTACAAATGTTCCATTTCTCATGAAATCTGACAAAACTTATATATAGATATTTTCTGTTTTTCTAATATTTTTGCAATTACAATTAGATGAATTCATCTTTTAGCTGGTGATACATTGTATGTTGTAGCTGTGAATAATCTAAAACAGTGCTTGTCAGTCCAAACCTGATTCATCTGAAAAATTAATTACTAGACAAATGATCCATGACAAGTGTGTCAGATTATTAATGTGCGATGTGAAGGGCATATTTATATTTGCTACTAATAATTAAATATGATTTGGTAACCTCCTCCCACTTTTTAAATGGTTTGTCATTTTTTGAGGATTTTTCTTTGCCCAAATAAACTTTAATTTAAATTAAAATGCATCCCATTTTTTTAAACATTAAAAGTTTCGACTTAAAATACAATTTTGGGCAGAATAATAATTTGAATGATTTGCTCTACCTGCAATTTTAAGGAGACTGTGCAGGTCTGCTTTGATTGCAGTGGTAAACACAAATCAATGGTAAAACATAATCTTATAGCAATTATGCATAGTAAGCCAAAGTGAACGTAATAAACCCTGTTCTTTTATTGGGGTTTTACAGTTTATTATTATTTTACAGTTTATTATTTACAGTTTATTATTATAAATTGCTGAGCCACACCAAGATTTATGCTTGTTACCCCATTACACTTCTTTATCAGCATTCTCAGGTCACTGTCAGATTATTCAACGTGCAAGAGACTTGAAACTGTAAACCATTAATTATTTTATAATGATATTTTTGCATGTAAAGGGTTCATTTTGACAGGTCGACTATATGTTATACAATAAATAATTATGACAAAAGTAAAGGTAAAAGCTTAATTTTATTCCCATAGCTTTTGTTTTTCACAATGGAGAAGACTCTTTGAATAGACCACGTTCCTGACAGTCACGATCAGGCTCAGGGAATGCACTTTAATTGTTCAACGTTTACTTTGTTTACCTTTTGCTTAAACAGTTTTACTACAGCTGCCTTTTGTCTGCAGTGAACTAACAATTCAAACATTTCAAACAATACGTCTTACCATTTTTATTTATTTATTTATCAATAAAAAACAACAACCTCCAGGAAATATGATAAGACTGGATTTTATATTGCACTAGCATTTTACTTTCGATAGAATTCACAAAATGATTCTAATTCAAGAGGATTTTGAATTTGAATTAGGTGGTTGAAAACATGCAAAACTACGGTGGCCGAGAGAGTTTAACGCACTGCAAATGAAAAAACACATGCAAATAGAAAAAACACCTGCAAATTAAGAAAACATCTTCATCAATTTGACAACACACGCGCTGCAAATGCTCACAACACAACCAAATAAAGAAACGTGCTGCAAATGCTCACAACACAACCAAATAAAGAAACGTGCTGCAAATGCTCACAACACAACCAAATAAAGAAACGTGCTGCAAATGCTCACAACACAACCAAATAAAGAAACGTGCTGCAAATGCTCACAACACAACCAAATAAAGAAACGTGCTGCAAAAACAGAAACGCGCAGCAAATACTCACAACACAACCAAATAAAGAAACCTGCTGCAAAAACAGAAACGCGCTGCAAATACTCACAACACAAACAAATAAACAAAGTGCTGCAAAAACAGAAACGCGCTGCAAATGCTCACAACACAACCAAATAAAGAAACGTGCTGCCATAACAGAAAGCGCTGCAAATACTCACAACACAACAAAATAAAGAAACGTGCTGGTTTAGGAGTCACACTTGCCTTCTTCGCGGTCAAAAGTGACCGAAGTCTTGAAATTTTTTTCAGGAAAATCGATGTAATCCATTTTTGTTCAATAATATTTTTTTATTATTATTTTTGATTTTGAGGGAATTTTATGATACTATGCAATATTTATACAATTTGTATGAGCTATTTTCTCCATTAGAATTAATATATATTTTTTATCTCTTTATTTATTTACTATTTTTTAATAAATGCAATATTTCACATTAAAATAGAGTGAAGGCATTTAAAATCCATTTTTTGAAGTGAGAATTGGGCCATCTGGAGGCATTAAAAAAATAAAAACTTGTGTAATGTTGCGTAACCTCTTGTATTAGCACCCTATATAGATATATACAGAGGCTGGTTACTTTACAACTTCCCTTACAAAAATTAACCATATGGTTTTACTATTAAAATTTATTAATTAATAAATACATTTATTATGTAAAAAATAAATAAAAACAAAAAATGGTTACTATAGTTAAACCATGCTAACCATAAATTAACCATGGATTTACTACACTAACCATAGTTTAACCATGGTATTTGTACAACTGTGGTTATACAAATGGTAATCAATAAAAAAAAAGACATGGTTCATTTTCGTTTTGTTGGAGTAATTTTCCTCCGTTGTGGTCTGTACTTGCGTTTCATTATTTGGTTGTGTTGTGAGCATTTGCAGCGCGTTTCATTATTTGGCTGTGTTGTGAGCATTTGCAGCGCGTTTCTTTATTTGGTTGTGTTGTGAGCATTTGCAGCGCGTTTCTTTATTTGGTTGTGTTGTGAGTATTTGCAGCGCGTTTCTTTATTTGGTTGTGTTGTGAGTATTTGCAGCGCGTTTTTGTATTTGACTGTGTTGCGAGTATTTGCAGCACATGTGTTGTCAAACTGATGAAGAAGTTTTCTTAATTTGCAGGTGCTTTTTCTATTTGCATGTGTTTTCTGTAGTTGCAGCGCGTTCAGCTCTCTCGGCCACCGTACAAAACTGCTGGAAAAACACATTTTTGTAATTAAATGT